GAACTGAACAGAACTGGTGTCAGCAAGCTTACTCATGTGTTTTTTCGTTTCATTATCTTTGTTTTCTATTTAATCTTCTACTAGGAGAAAGTATTCAAAGTCTGCAATCCAGCAGTGGRTAAAGTATGTGAGACTATGTTATGTCTTAGGGATGATCCTTGCTACAAAAGCAAGATAGTATCCCACTTGAATAGCTGTGTGCTTGGTCCTCTGTGATTCCCAATACACTTACTATATATATGGTTCACCGAATTTTCATACATTGACGAAGAGATTGAGCTTGCCACAAATTTGTTAATATCAATATCAACCACTTTGTCATATTCTTCCAAGGTCTATCTATCGAGGTTTTTCAATCTCAATATCGCAAAAGCTGGACAGTTGAGAAAAAAGTRTGTAGATGRTTCCACTGCGACTGYTTCTTASAAATTTGGCAATTTGCATTCAACAAGATATCTAGTCCCATCGCATGCGAGTCTATTGAACAGTGTTCAGTTATCATACCTTCCAAGTAGTTTATGGAACCTCTTGAACACTACCTTGGGTCAAAATGTTTTCGTAACCGTGTAAAATTTGGTTGTTGACCAGAGTTTGCCAACCAGCGATCCAACGCTACACAGTAGAGGAACAGTAAAGTTCCAACTCGTTGCCAATCATATGAAATCWGGTTTCTTAGCAAGCTCATCGGCTTTGTAGCTTAATGCTACTGACAATGAGGTCTCCGATTGAAAGACACTGCAATGCTTTGGTACCTTAAAAATATAGTTGATGGAGAGCAGCCGCTAGAAGACTCTCCCTCCCATCTTCTTGCTAARCTTCGAAGCATCTGCGAAAAAGCACGTTACAACTCTCCTCTCCAGCGGTTCGCGCGACTTCAATATTCCTTCCAATTATGTGCGCAGTGGTTCAAGTTATTAAAGATATTACCGCTTCACTCTATGGGCTATTGAAAAGTTCCAAGAAGATCCGACGTTTTGAARCCAAAKTTTGATCAGTGATGAGGCCCATTTATGGCTCAATGGGTAGGTAAACGAGCAAAATTGCCACATTTGATTGGAAGAATAATCTGAAAAGGTTTAAGAACTGTCATTTCATCAACAAAGACAACGGTTTGGTGTGGTTTGAGGAATCATCGAGCTATATTTCTTGAAAAATTATACCAATAAGGACGTAAACGTCAATGGCGACCTTTATCGCGCCATGATAACCGTCTATCTGCTACCTGAAATTGGAGTTCTTGATTTCGCCGATATTTCGTTTTAGCACGCATCCATCAAAGGAATTATTGAGAAGGGCATTCGGTGAGTGGATGATTTCACGTTTTGAGTCGGTCGATTCCCCGCCAATATCGTGTGATATCACACCCTCAGACTTTTGGAAACTTCTGGAGATATATAAAGTATTAAGTCTATGAGAAAGATCCCGCTTCCATTCAAGCTTTGGAGCAAAGCATCCCGCTCGTAGATCAGTCGAAATGCTCGAATGGGTCATCGAAAATTGGACTGAACGGATAGAAAAGATGAATTAAAGGAGATAATATTTCAAAATGGTAAAGAATGGTCATTCGAATTATAGTAAACACTCTCCATTAAATTTGAAGTTTCTATGTTTTGCTTTAAATAAGTAAGGAACCTCGAATTAGATCACCCTTTACTTTACCTTCCCGAATGGTAATATGTTTTCCTGTATCGGTTATTACTATTTTGAGTTCTCTGTGCTTGATCTGTAAAGAAGATGGAAATTCCCTCTCTTTACCTTTTCTAAGCTCTTTAGTGGTCTCATTGGTCGGTTCTTATTGTGAGAGTAGGTATGAAATTAATTAGCTGATGGGGTTGATTGGAATGATGCAACTGATGTCTGTGCAGAACGGTTAAAGAAGATTTTGTATTTGGTTTTTGTCTCTCTGATATTAAATGAGCTAAGAGTGACTTGTTGGACATAACACAGTTATTTTCTGAATCGTTTTGTTAAAGCGTGTTTAATGAAGAGTCCAAAAACTCTCCCTGCTTCCATGTCTTCCCTGGCATATTTGGTGCGACTTTAACTGTTCATCAAGAAATTACTACCATTCTCATGAATAAATATTACAAATTCTCTCATTTATTTAAACGAAGTTGCTTCGCTTTCAACTTTAACGTYTTCCACAAAGGCCACAAATAACATGTAATTCTCTAATTTGCTGCCRATTTTAAAACTAATTAATACATTGTGTAAATTGCATGCCAAAAGCGCTGCCGTAAGCTTACAAAATGCAAAGCRAACTTTGGCAACAAATCGACATATGGCGATATATAAAGTAATCAAGYAACTAAAAAAACAAATATCTATGCGAAAAGTTTAAAGCAGCAAATATCAACTTAGTGCTAGCTTCATTTGCAAAATTACATAACGTGAAAATATGAGAAGTTATTAGCTTTCGGCATATTCATATTCATTAGTTTCCATGCCAATGGTTTTGTCGATGTATGGGTGTGTGTGGAAAGTTTGCAAACTCTTGTGTGGGAGTGCTAGAATTTTCAACAACACTTAATTGCAATTGGTTGTGCATAAGCATTGACTTTCATTTGTGGTTCGACTTTGTGGAGTCATTGCATACATACATTGCTCTTAATGAATACCATAAAGTAAATTTTTAAAAAGTCGTAAGCTCTGGTGTATATTTTGTATTAAAGGAGGTTTACATATGAGTTAAGTTTCGAACCTATTTCGGTATAGTTTTCCATTATGAATAGCCACTAAATTTGATTGCTGTAGCAAAAATTCTGTTTTTACCAAGTTCCATTCAAAAAATTGTTATATATTGAGCTTAAAGTACTTTTGGTTTACGATGGACATGGAAAAAATCTCGGGATCCCGAAGTTGTCAATCCCGAATTTTCGGGATTCGTCTAGTCAAGTTTAAATCAAGCAAAATCTTTAAGTATGATAGCTGGAATGAAACATAATTTCAAACGAACTGTTCGTGATCCCGATATTACCACTTCAAAAAATTTTGAAGTTCCATCGAAAAACTAGTATAATTTAAGACCAAAGTACATTTGGGTTACAATGTATACTAAAAGAAGTTCGGGATTTCGAAATTGTCAGTCTTGAATTTTGTGAATTACCACGATTATAAAAGTTTAAATCAAGCCAAATAACTAGAAATGGTGGCTGGAATGAAACAGCACTTTCAACCTTAACGTAATCCCGAATTTACCACTTCGAAAAATTCGAAAAATAAATAATAGAGTATCTAACTTAATCAAAAAAAAGGAATTTAAATGTATATTAAGAATTAAAATAGGTTTTTACGTGAGATTCAGTTTTACTCTAACGGGTAGTAGGGTATGATTTTTAATTGTGAATAATAGCTTTGATGGCTTGATAATTTTTTCCATAACAAAGTGCCATCGAACAAATTTGGTAAATTTTTTTTTACAAATATTTTTGGTTCGAAATACATAACAAAAAATTTCGGGATCCCGAACTTGTCAGTCCCGAAATTTCGGGATTCCCAAGATCGTAGAGTTAAAATAATACCAAATATCTAAATCTGGTAGATAAAATAAAAAAAAAATACTAGCAAATTTTCATCGAAACATTTTGGTTTACTTTTATTTTATGGGTAGGAGATTGTTTATTTTCGATTGAAAAAMTTTGGGGTTTCTAYCGATYCCAAAATTTCGGAATTCTCAAGATCATTAAGATGAAATTATATTCCTTAATGTGGTGGTTAAAATGAAAAATCTACTCCTCCCAAGGTTCATGCGAAAGATATGGGAATAAAACATCTATTTCGACCAAAGTTTCATTGAATAAGATTGATATACTTTAAGCATAAAATATTTTTGGGTTGCGATGTACATCCACAACAAAAAAATTTCGGGATTCCGAAGTTACCAGTCCCGAAAATCAGGAGTTGAAATAACAMCAAATCACTAGATCAGGTAGTTGAAATAAAAAATGATAGTATAGCATAAAATGTTTTCGGGTTGCGATGTACKTCCAAATTTTCTRAAATACCGTCAATACCGATTTTTCRGAATCKCGAAGATCATAAAAGTATAAATTGAAYCACAAGATACGATGGCTGCAATGAAAAATTTCTTTCAACAAATATTCTGTCGAAAAGTTTTGGTATATTTTGCAAACAAGGTATTTTTCGGCTTTAGTGCACACAAAAATATTTCAGAATCCCGAATTTGCYAATCCCGAAATTTCGGGATTCTCATCATTGTAAAAGTTTAATCAAACCAAATTAATTATGGTGTCGAAAGGTATTTTTAGGTTTTACTGCATACAAAACATTTTCGGGATCCCGTACATAACATTCCCGAAATGTCGGAACTTCAAGATCATACAAGKTTAGATCAGGAAATGAAAATAAGCTATTAGTAACAAAACTCTGAACTGTCCAAGCCATCGCAAAATAGTAGGAGCATTGCTGGAGATCAAAAGTATGGCTTTAATACCGAGTATGGAGTCATGCTCATCCCTACTGTAAAGATATAATACATATGTATGTCTTCAATTTGGAAGTAAATTCTTATACATACGTTTTTCGCACGTAAAAGCAAATAAAACTTGGGTATTCCGAAGTTTATATTTTTAATCCCGAAATTTCGGGATTACTATAAAACTATGAATTCAATAATAAGAAACACTCAAACACTTATGAAGCAAAAATCCCCTTCGTTGTGTTTCACCTTCACTGAAGATAAATTTCWTTCCATTCGATTGATTCCCCACAAGCTGCTGCGAGCCGAAGCGGCACAAAAATGAGTTGTCTACAAAACCGCAGCGATTCAAATCAACATTGCCTACGGAGCCACTTGCTACAAAGCTAATGCTAACGCTGGCAAATCAATCAACAATAGMTATGTAAGTGAGCTCACAAGCTAAAACTCTTGAATATAGACTTTGTTTTACGTMTCGCAACTGTCTGACTTTTAGTGTAGCCCTTCACCTACAATGCTTGTCAGTTTGCAAAACCGCTTTCATGCACTTTAGCTTACTTACCGATATGCCAAGGAACTGTGTAGAATTCATCGCCGCATAAATTTCATCGGCAATTTCCTTGTCTGTGTATGTAAAATCTCGTAAGGATTTCTGACGTTGCTTGAGGCGTTCCATTGTCTTATTGAATGCCAACGCCACACTCCASACAGCATCGTAGGCCAGCGGCGCCTCTTGATAGCCCTCCGGATAGCGATCATGATTGATGTCGTAACCTTCTTCGATAAGCGCATGATTCAGTCGTTGTCTGCAATGAAATGGAAAAATGATAATAATCATGGTTTCAACAATTTTAAAAGAATATGCAAGGGTACCTCATATAAAAATTCAGGTGAATAGCGGCTGAAACTTTTCCCTTATAGTAAAAGATGGTGTCTTTCAAATCGAAGGAGTTTTTGACACTGGAGTAAGAGTTACGCGGACTATTTTTGCGTTCAAAGAAGAGGAAGTTAGTGAAACTACGAGTTTATTTCGGGACGTAACATTATTTCGTTTCTGCGGAAGATCGAAGACTTAAAGTAGCCTTTAATTCTTTTAAAAATTTTGTATCGAAACAAAACCTACATATATTTGAAAGCAGAGATTTCGGAGTTTCGGGCTTAGAACTTTTAGGTTAAAATAGGATTTTTTATGGAATCCTTCTTCATTCTCTGGCGATCCATTCATTGTAGTATCTATAGGTAAGACTAGAAGGCCTAGTGGAACCTTTTCATTAACTGTAAGGCAGGTAGGATAAAGGGTGCTATCTTGGTTGAGTGAAGTTTGTTTTGTATTTAAGTACAACTTGAATTAATGCTGCGAAGGATTTGGCCCTTCAGATAGGTGKTATTTCACTCCAACAGCATACCTGCAATACTAGCGGTGAGCTCTCTGGCAGTGTGTTGTCGAATAGTCAAGGTCTGAAACTTTTAGCTGTAGCATCAAGCTACTATATTATCCGTCTTGGCGAAATCGCTGACAATTGCAAAGTCGATGAGCTTGCTGGAARGAGTCAGTACTCGGCTGTCTTTTGCGCTCGGGCGTTGAATCTTTGGAGCTCTCCTGARCTTGAAAAGCGTTCATCAATAACCAAAACTTGTATAGCTACGATATCTTTTTGACACAAAGTGGAATGCAAGCGGTCCTCTGAACTACTTGCTCCCTAGCAAGCCTTATTTAGCAGCCATGGAAGAAGACGTGGTGTCAGCTTTTGCCAGTCTGAGTTTGAAATATCTGGCTGGGATTCATATTAGGCAACTGAAAAAATTTGTGTTAAGCTCAAAGCGCTTGATCGGCTCACAAAGTTGTATGGTGAGTTTTATTTAGGAGTTCTTGGAATCACAAAGAAACTTCGTTCACATTATATCGATAGGATCCTACTGATATCTTTGGTGCGAGGAGCAGTCCTACTACCGAACGACCTAACTTAAGCTAAATCCTCGATCTTGAACCTTTTACTGTAGCTTATTCCAAATCCAATAAAAAAAATTTGGTCCTTAAATATGATTTTACTGGAACTGAGCACCAAAGAAATTGGGAACCAAAAGCTGGTATGACTCAGGTTCTCTTTCTGTGTATTTCTTCTGATTTACGTTGTTATGATTGAACCTAAAATGGACGAAAGGTTTTCTCATCCGTGATTAGATCGCCATCTATCTAAGATATTAATATTCGGTTATCTAGAATAAAAAAAATTATGCTTGGAACATCAGAATGTGATTGTAGAGAGGGTACTATCCGTTACGGAAAAGGTGGTCGCTGAAAACGAGACTCAAATCGAAATCGAATCCTCTCCGTTTCATACTTGTTAATTATTATTATTGATTGCTGCGCTTGGGAGGTTTTACGAAACGTTTTGTAAGTCTCTTTTTATATTTGGGGTGAAGCCTCAATTAAAAATGGTCAATTAATCTCGAATGCTTTCAAAAGTAGCAGCGCCACCTAGTGGATTTACTATGTTTACAATTTTAACTACCATAATTTGGATTAATTGAAATTCTCAACATTTCATATAAATTCCTCATCAATTTCTAACGCCTCAATTCATGAACCCTTAAAAATTCTAAAATTTTCTAGCTTTCATAGAAACCTGAAACACAGTGCGCCTCGTCAAATAAAAACTCAAACTCACCGAAATTCCTCAGATGTCATGCCGGAAATTGTCGTTTGATTGTTCTGATTCCACATAAGCGCTTCCGTTGTCAGATGTCCTTCGGCCGCAATGCGCATCTGTTCTATCGTGCAAGTGATACCCTCATTTTCCAAGTTCACCTCGTACCAATTGTCCTCGTACCAGCCTAAGAGTAGATGAAAAGCAGATGATACCCATAAATATCGCCACATACACATGAATACAAACATTAACATATACACACAGTATAGTAAGTATATCTATGTATATCTTCTTATGTAGTATCTATTTAAGTCCTTAAATAGCGCTAGAGATAAGAAAGTCACCGCAATTGATGCTTTTAAAAGCTCCGTTATTTATTTGTACAAACACATATACAATTCATACATACCAATACATGCATATACTCACACTATTGACTGGTGGCTTAAAGTTTTCGCGAAAAATACGCGCACTTTGCTATTTCCAAAAGTTAAATGCTACACATGCCATACTCATATAGTTGACCGTGAGTGTAGTAGAGGATGCAAAGATTTGCTGCTAGGAAGGAAGTCAGTAAGTGACGGAGCGGTTGGTGTGTAACACAATGACATTTGTAACGAAAAACTTTGCAAAGTTTGCTGATAAATACTCACACCGCACTTTGGTATCTGTTATAGTATGTGCGAGTGTATGGGTATGCATGTGTGAATGTGTGTGCTTTCTGTGCGCTTTTCTTCCTGCTTGCGCAAGCATGAGATTTTGCTTTTGTTATTGAAATCGAAATTCATGTAACGATTCAATGTGGCTATATGAATATGCGGGCAAATCGTAGCATACACAAAGGCGCATGCATTTGCTATGCCATTAATAGCGTTTGTAGTGCGTGTGTGCTTCCATGAATGCCGAATAAATTTTAATAATTTAGTTTTTATGCATGAAATTTAACTTTCAAACTGCTGATCGTTTGTTATTGAGCGAAAAATTGAAAATTTACATGCATTGTAATTGTGAAATATGGCTTTTAGCAAATATTTGTTGTAAAATTTTCGTTAACTAGTGAATAAAATTTTATATTATTTGGTTACTTGTTTCATAGCTGCTAACTTTTAGCCCTAATATTTTCTAAACTGCCTTTGGAAGGTATTTCTAAAACTTAAAAAAAGGGTTGCAAYCTGTATAAAATTAATTTTTGTTTGGAAATTATCTTAATATTTTTATGCGTTAAAATAAGGTATTTCAGGCGTTTAAAAATAGCAAGCGTTGCCACCTCTAGTTATTAAACTGAAAACCAAGGTGGCAACTCTCTTAACTTTTTTTTTTTGAAATTTAATATTTGTAAATTAATTACGTTGAAATATTTCTGATACTTAAAAATATCAAAGGTTGCCACCTGCATTAAATTTTTGTAAAAAAGAATCAAGCTTTTATTAAAAAATATATGTGGAAATCATACCATATCACCAACAAAAATCGAGGGTTGCCACCTGGTGTAAAATTTTTTTTATTGAAAATAAATATTTTTGTTGTTTATCTTTCACCAAAACAAAAGCATTAAAACTAGTTTTAGAACTTTCTTGTAGTTTGCTCTAAMACAAATAATCAGTTCAAAATTAGTATGAGACGTTTTCGTGGTTGCCAATCTGCCAGCAAAAGGAATTTATAATACTTAAAATAAAAAAAAAACAAGTGTTGCCAACTGTATTAAATATTTTTTGTAGAATTGAGTTGGAATTTTAGGAAAAACGGAATGGAAAATCTTCTTTATACTAAACCACTACAGAAAATTTTTAATACTAGAAAACATGAGAATTTTATTATATTTTATAGAAATGTGTCTGTATATACATATGTAGTACTCTCGCTAATGTAGATATTTTAATAAATTTTATNAAAAAAAAAAAAAAAAAAAAAAAAAAAAAAAAAAAAAATGGCAACCCTTTTGAAAAACTGCCCACCCTTTTCATCCCTTTGGACTTACAAATATTGTATTATTCCTGTTGCAAAATTTCTGTTGCATGTAATATTATAAATATAAAAGATAACTTTTAAAAGGTGACAACCTCAAAATTAGAAATTTTCATCTTCAAGTTTTCACAATAAAACGCTTTTTGAAATGAAATTGAAATAAATTCAACTGCAAAACTTTCTAAGACCAGTCAGCCAAGCAGAAATCCCATATCGTATATCGGCCAGAAGTGTCTTGGGAAGCAGGGCAGTAGTGGAAAATATTGTCAGAAGCAGGGAACTTCACTTCCACTGGGCACCAGGGCAATGAAATAGTGGACGAGAGTGTGTTAAAATTCGTGTCAAGCGCAGGCATCCTAAGCGATGACTACTCCCCTTGCACTTAGCAACTGAAGGCCATCTGATATCACAAAGGACCAAATCTGGTCTATGCGTAGCTTATTGGCCTACCATATTAACCGAACCTTGCCTTCAGGACACCATTAATTCTAATATATTTAAATAAAAATACTTGAAAAGAAGGTAACATTACTCAAAAAATTCTAAAGTCAAAGATTATGCCATTAGGTAAACCCTGCTACTTTGGCTGGGATTTAATTCAAATGAAATTGTTTGCTTTTTGTATCACAAAGCGCTTAGCTAAAATAAGCCAGGATTGAAAGTAACAATATTTATATCATCCGTACTTATTTTTATTCAAAGTCCATGTCCACAAATCAGATTAATAATTTTCAGCAAACTTTTAAGTTGCATTACAAGCATTTCTAAGGCTAAGTACATACATATTGCAGTTGTAAGTGGAAAAGTGATGGATGCAACGTGCAATAAAATATCGTTGCCTACAAACAAAACAAAAAAAAAAAAAAAAAAAAAATTGTTTACTTCGTTTCTTTGCACTAAGTGTACTCCATTATGTACTTAGCCTGATATGTCAAAATTCAAATTCGAATTCAATGTTACATGAATTACTTTAAACAAACCGGATTAAAATTTTACATGAAACTTTTAAGTGCTTCAAGTATTAAGAACTAAATTTTATTATTTTTATATAAAGTTGAGTTACTATTTTTTGGCTTTAAGGCCAACGCTGTCAATACATTTCATTCACTTAACCGCTCAACAAAAAAATATAGTCCGTTGTCAGCTATTTTCATTGTCGATTTGCCAAATTTATTAAACACCGAAAATGCATTAGCATTGTAATGATTTTATTTCGAATCTATGCTAAAAATAGCAGGTGAATTTATTAAGTTTCTGATATTTTCACACATTATTCATTTTCCACCTTCATTGTTTGTGTGGAGGTGTCATTAAAAATAACATTCGTGTTGTTGTGCACTCGCAGTGTTACTAATTACAAATTCCTAGAATTCTTAATGCAAATTTCGTTTGCGGTTTATCGACGCCACAAATTTAGTCAACTACAAATAACTTAAAGGCCGCAGCAGTCAAATTGCATTTAGTGACGTCAGTTAGTGTCGGAAAAAGCATTAATATTTTTGTATATTTGTAATAATGGAAATAGAGACTGTTTTTCTGTGGTTTCAGTAATCCTCAGGCGACAGTTGTCAAAGTAAATTCATGTTTCAAGTATTTCTTATTAGTAAAAACTCTTCACATTTGTTTGGAGGTGTACATAAGTTTTCTAGTGGTACAACTGTCAAAAGAAACGTTAAAGTGTTTTCGTGTTTTTGCTTTTTATTAGCGATAAAGCATATAATAGGTTGTCAAAAAAGTCTTGCGGTATTTTTTGTTGAATTTTCAATTGTTCATAAAAGTTTTTTTGATGACTCATGCTCAGCTCTTGACCGATGCTACGGTTGCTACTATGCCGGTCTCTCTCGACTAATTCAGCGATTTTATCGCAATTTTCGACGACAGGCCTTCCGGAGCGTGGCGCATCTTCGACCACCTCTATACCAGAACGAAAACATTGAAACCATCGTTGTGCAGTGGAAATGGAAACTGTATCGGGTCCATAAACTGTAAATATGCTGTACTTTTCTCTTTAGTTTGCTCCATGTTTGCGACGCTATAACTCTCGAACGACTTAAAAGAAAACGACAATCAACCAAACACGTGTTAGCGCGTGAAATGGTCCTTCAAAAAAAATATAGCATGACCCGATGCGACGAATAAAACTAGAACTACGCGCTCTCAGCGCCAACTACCGCAAAACTTTTTTTGACAACYTAATATAATACATATGTAACAATTCATTTAAGCAATTAGAGTCAGAAATAGCTATTGTGTATATATATTTATTTTTGTTTAATTTCGAAATAGAAGGTATTTTTAAGAAGTTTGAAGTATTGTCAAACGAGCTGTCAAAGTATACTTATGTCTTTTTTATTATCAGTATACTCCTTTTCCAGAAATTTTTGTTCACTGAGATACAGAAATAGCTACTGCATTTATAGTTTTGAAATTATGGCAATATATGGAGTTTTTTGAAAGGTTAGGAATATACCTAAGGGTTACARAGTCACAGTCATAAACAATTAGAATCTTCAGGAGTTCAAAGTTTGCCTTTTAGACATCATTAATAAATTCCTTAAGAAAAATTTTAAAAGGTGGCAACTCTCTAAATGCTATGCTATTGCATATATTTTTTGAAATTATAGCAATACAAAGTCTTTTTTTGAGATATAATTTCCTAGAGGTATAGCTGTCAAACGAGTTGTCAAAGTCCTATCAGTCTCATCAGTATAGACTGTAGCCAAAAATATTACTATTTTGAATTGAAAATAGCCATTGCATTTTTTTTTTTGAAATTATGGAAAATATATTGTTTTGCTTCCATTAGTTTTGATATAGAATTTCATAAAAGGACAGCTGTCATACAAGCTGTCAAAGTAAATTTATAGTCGGAAAAAAATTAATTTCCAAAAATGTTTGGTCAGGGAGAGTTAAAAGATTTACATTAATGWACATTTTTCTTAATAATAAATAACTAAATATGGGTTATTTTATGAGAAGCCAAGAATCTATATTCTGTCAAAAAGATCTCAAGTTTTAGGTATTTATTATCATATAAGACTGAATAAAAGAGTCTAAAACATGTTTGAGGCGTCTGACGAAAAAGTAGCTTTCAAACAAGCTGTCAAACTATGTGCCTGGCATATAAATCTCGTAAGTACTGAATAATATTCTCTAAAAAATTTTWAAGTTATGGAATATCTGTGATATGCGCTATAACAGTAATCACATGTGTCTGAC